GTTCTTGAGGCAGATGCCGTTGCCCAAATTGAGTGCCTTCTCTTCGGTGGTGTTCGAAGGAAAAGGGAGTTGCTGCTTTCTGATCCCAACACGTGGCCACATGGGCCATGTGCAAACTGCACATTTGCTACAGGACCATAGGAATTCCATTATACTGGGTGTTTTTGTGTATTCTTGCTTGCGGTGCCACCAACATTCTTGCTTGAAGCACGTTGACCTTTTTTCCGGGTGAGCAGCCGGAGAAAGATTTCACCCTGCACCCTAGCAAGATGTGGTGAGACTGGTTTCCAGATAATTTGGCCCCAACCACAATAACCAAACAAAATCAGAGCACCAGGAGCCCTTTGAGCACCTACGACCTAATCTCTAGACTCATGTCATCCTTTTCCACGTCACCTCAGGAAACATGACTGTCTAGATAAGTGCCCAGAGCTAGAATGGCAACACACTAATTAGGATTGGGCCACTACTGGTAGGGTTGTAAACATCATGCGAGGTGGTTGAGGTGTGAGAAAGTGACACTGTAGGTGATGCTTGTCGGAAATAGTAGAAATGATAGGGGCACCGTCAGCAAGCCTTGTTTCACCTCTAGCTTTGCTCCCCTGCTACGATGGGTCCCTGAATGCCAGCAGCAGCAAGCATGGAAGTAGGATAAAGTAGGGTATTTGCTGGTTTGCGCCATTTGGCTTTGGTCTAAATGGTGGCAGTCCCTTGCAGTGCTTCAAACCGGCCAGTTTATTGATGCAGTGCGAAGGGGACCGCCAATGGGCCTGCGAAAGGGTTATTGACCATTATTGAACGACATGCGACCGCAAACACAAGCACGAGCACCAGGCTTGTCTCAGCTGTTGCACCTCTATGACCAACGGATGGCACGAGGTGCTTTGGCCTTGCAAGCCATTCGCACCATAAGCTTGTCCAAGCCTGGCTGGAAGGAAGCGTTGCTGGAATTGCATCAGCTGTGCTTGCTTCAAGTGGCTAACCAGGCAGAATGCAACGCTGTACTTCGTGCTTGCTCCCACACGTGGGTGCTAGCAAGTTTGTTGTTGCAAACATCTTTGGCACAAAGTCTGGAAGCAGATGTGATCACCTACACTTCCGCTGTGAAAGCTTGTGAGCGTTCAGTCGGATGGCAGCACGCAACACACCTTTTGGAAGGCGCTCAGCAAAGGGAAGTCAAGGTGGATGTAATTCTGCGCAGTGCAGTTGCAAGCTGTCTTGATATGACGCCACACTGGAGATTTGCCCAACTCATCCTTCAAAAGGTGCCTGGACTTGTGGATGCTTTTGTTTTGTCCATGTCGATGAACATATGCAGGAATGGGGGGTCTTGGCAAGTAGCAACCGAACTCCTCTCCAACTTCCATTTGCACGAGGCCGAGAGTATCAACACGGTCGCATGCAACACTGTACTTGGAGCCTGTGAGGACGCGAGTGGGTGGCACCAAGGTTTGGGTCTCGTGATGAACCTTAAACACAACCGGCTGGATGCCGCGATTGCCGTGTACAACACCTTGATCGGCAGTTTGGCTCGTCGGGGCCTGTGGGCCAAAGCACAACAAGTGCTACAAGATGTGGCTGCAATTCAGGTGGAAGCAACAAACGTCACATATCATGCCGTTGTGGCTGCCTTTGACAAACAAGATCTGTGGCGTCAAGCCAGGTGGTTGCTTTCGCCATCTCCTGATATCAACTCTTTGTCTCCAACTGGCAGCGGCCCATGGCCTTTGGCACTTGCTTGGCTTGCAGAGCTTCACTGGTTTCGTGTAAGGAGTGACGTGGTCGATGTGAGTCGCACCATTTCCAACGGCTTCTCTTGGCGCTGGGCCTTGCAACTTCTCACCTCACGTGGTCGATGCAACTTCTCACCTTGCGACGTGGCGGCTGTGGGGGCTGCAGCCGCTGCCTGTGGGCGTGCCCTTGAGGTGACGAAGGCCATGTCATTGCTTCAGGCCATTGATTCTCCAGATGTGGTACTCTTCAATATTGTCATGAGCGCAGCGGGAGCTGTAAACCTGTGGCAGGGAGTGCAGATGATGCTTAAATGGATGCAGCACCTGAGGTTGAGAAGTCAGATTGTCACATACAATACGGCCATTTCTAGCTGCGACACGGGAAAGGAGTGGCAGCAATCCCGCTTACTACTGAAGGAGCTGAAACGCGAGACTATGAAGCCTACAACTGTAACCTTCAACTCGGCGATTGCTACTGCAAGGCAAGGAGGCTGGAAGACGAGCATAGCATGTTTGGAGGAGATGAGGCATCATGGGATCCAGGCCAATTCAATCACGTACAATACTGCGATTGATGCTTATGCACCATTCAGTTTGTGGCACCGGGCGCTTGAGCTGCGCCAATCTGATGAACTAGATGTAATCAGTTGTACTTCCCTCGTCACCTCCTGCAGTGCTCTCAGTGGATGGCAAAAGGGGTGGTTCTTGTTGGAGGATTTGTGGGAGCACGGGCTGCCGGTCAATGAAGTTCTAACTGGTAGCACCAGCAGCTTGACCATGGCCGACTTATTCTTGGCACCTGCCATTTGGAGGAAGACCAGTTTGATGTTGGATATATTCCGACGTCGGCGAGCGGATCCCAATGTCCTGGCATTGAGCTGCGTGCTCACGGCTTGTGAGAGGGGTTGCGGACACGCGCACTTTCTGCAAGCTCTCAGAATTGTAGACCATAAGGCTCGCAATGGGCTGAGCTGCACGTTTTGCTGTAGTGAAATGTGCGAAGCCGCAGGTGCAGCAGATGAAGCAGCGACTCATTGACCCAAATTGCTACAGGACTTGCTTTTGGACCAGAACTTCTCAACAGGATCAGGATCGAGCATCCCAGACCCTGCAAGCTTACCACCAAGCAGTGTGGTAAGCCACCCTGCCTCCAGACTTTGTTCTACTAGAGAAGGCCTCCCTCCACCCTAGTAGTGATGGCGTCGACAATTCTTTGTTTTGTTGATGAACTGCCTGATTGATTCAAAATGTTCTTTCGAATTTTTCTTTAGGTGTCTCCTTCGCCAAGCATATGTATATATATATATATATATGTATATGTGTGTAATGCTAAAACGTCGCTAGATGATATGCACTTCCCAACATTTCCCAACTAAGGAAGTGGCCACAATGAATCAGCCAAAAATACATGAATATATATATATATATACACATAGAAACACAAACAGTCCGAAGCTGTTCGCTTGTTTTTCATCACATCATTCTTGGCCTGGTTTTCTCGCTTTCGCTGTTTGTCAGCTTTCTGGTTCCGGTCGACTGAAGACTTGTTGGATGCAGGTCTTCATACTTTCATCAATGGTCATATTCCTAACACCCGGGCACCCAGTCTTTATTGAAGAGCCCTTTAGCGTGGCGCTGGATGTTGAGCGCAACCATCATTGGGGTGTCCAGCAGAGGCCCACAAATCACAAATCTTCATCAGCAACTCTTTTAGCTTTCTGGTGCCCTATCCGACTGCAACTGTTGACCTTTTGTTTGGTCAACCTCTGGGAAATTTCGATCATTGCATCAGCTGCTTTGAGCACGTGTGCTCGTCTAGATTCGTTTAGCCTAAGAGACGGCTTGACCACTAGGCTGTTTGACTGTGTGCGGGCGTCCGAATCCCGCAGTGGCTGGTTCAAGTCAGGACCGCTATCATGGACCAAAGAACTTGCAAAACCACGCGGCAAGCTGCTTTGTGCTTCCGGCTGAGCCCTTGAATTGAGAGAAATTGGGTGGCTCCCTTGATCAACTCGAGTCGGTGTATGCAGTAGATCTACAAATGTTGGTGGCCCACCTGCGCGAATCCTGTGCTAACAGCTGGCACACACCGCCGCCATTAAAGCCAATGGGAGGTTTCTCCGGAGCTTCGCTGGGACATCTTGGACGGAGCTCAGCTCGACGTGGCGAGACACCGTGGAGGGAGGAAGTCCAGATCGATATCACCTGCAGCTGGGCTTGATTGCAACATATGCAACACGAAACCTCAAGAGTCATGCAGCCATTTACAATTCAGCCACGGCGTTCTTCAGGAGCTTCGCTCGCAAGGTGCAATTATATTACGAGTGCCTGTGAGAAGCAGGCAGAGTGGCAGCAGGCAGAACGGCCTTTCTATGAGCTCAGGTGCAATCCAATACAGCTGGAACATGGCAGGCAAGGTGTGCGAAAGTAATGTGGTTGCTTTCAATGCTGCCATCCGTTCCCGCGAGAAGTGGGGTGAGTGGCAAATGGCCACCGTGTAGTAGCTGATCACTTTCAATGCGAGCATTTGGGCCTGTGGAAAGGGCACCCAGTAGACAGCTGCAATTCTCGTGGGGCAGTTGCAGCAAACTTTGCCTCGAGGAGCTACTTGAGATCTTTCCATTCAGCACGATCAGGCGCCTGGCAAAAGGCCACCCTGTGTTGCAAGGCACGCACACAGATCTTGGGTTGAAGTGGATGTGGTAAACCTCGGGTTGGCGCGGCAACCATTTTTGAGCAGACTGTTTTTGAGACCAAAAGTTTCACCCAAGGCCTGCATTTTCAGCGATCTTGTCAAGAGCTGAAGAACTTGTGCCTGCTGGCCACGGGGGAAAGACAGCAACCTCACGAGTCCGCAACCGTTTGCTCGTCCAATGATTTGTAACGGTGTAACGCTCCTTGTCCCACAAACAGGTCCAACTAGTCAGTTTGCGAGTGCGTGTTTGTTTTGCTTGAAGGCTGGTGCGAAGCTGTTCCTGAGAGCGTCATGAAGGCCATTGTTGATTGAGCTGCAGGTGCGCTGCTGCCAAAAAAAGGACTACGGGGCGACACGGTTGGGGATTTCAGTGCAAGATACTTGGAGTGCCCCAAGAAAAAACTTGCTAAGATTGCGGCATCTTTTCCTGCAGCCATTGGTGCCACAAAGGCTCAGAAGATCACGTTGCTTCTCATGTATTGTATTGTGGAACCTAGTTGAATTCCGACACTGCTGCGCTATGAGATCGACATTGAACAGCGGCAATGACAGAGACTCCCTTTATGGATGAGAGAAAATCGGGTAACACTTTAACTTTAGGCTGGTCTGTAGGCCATGGCCCACCATGGGCCCAAAGAGTGCCTCCAGCCCAAACGCCGTGCGTGGTGCCACTGCCGCTAGCACGCCGAAGAGAGAAGCAGCCAAACCGGAGAAGACTGCGAAGATTGGTTCGCCTGGATTGCCTGGTTTGCTGGGAGCTGAGCTGGATGTTGGCAATTCTGATCAATTCTGTTGATGAATCTTCCAACCTGAGCTCAGTGAAATTGACTGCCACCAGGGCAAGATTGAATCAGGGGTTTGTGCCCTCGTCGTTTGCACTTGTCCCATTTTCCTGAGCTGAGAACCTATGTTCCATAGTTCTTCAACTTCTTGATGTTGATGCCATTGATGCCTTCAAGGAAAGCAATAAAGACCACACTAACGTGCCTCAGAAATGACTTATGCAGTACGGCAGGGACATCGTGCCACACTGTGCCACAGCCTCAGGTCTGAGGCATCCCCTCAGGATCGACAAGCCGAGCCTTGGGCACGAAAAGACATAACATCTGGACAGAGAGCATATCAGTCATATCATCATGTTAACAAGAAGCTACTAGGGGCTCCTGGCCGTACTACTAGGAGCAATGTTCGGTACTGGGGGCTCCTGGCATCGCTACTGGGAGCAAGGACGCTACTAGGGGCTCCTGGCCGTACTACTATCTCTTTTCCTGTGTCCTCTTGCATGCCCGCTTTGAATAGAAAGGGTCGCTTCGAAATGTCAAGGATGCAGAGCTTCTTCGCCATGTTTTGTACGCCTTGCGGCTGCGAATGAGAATGGCAAGGGCAGTGACAGCCGATGCGCAGACAAAGACGCAGAGCGCAGAGACGCTCCAAGCGGTGGTGCGGATGTTTCTGGCCCGATCAGTTCCTGGACAAACTAGTCAACAGATCATGGCCATTCTTTTCTACTTAGTCACTCGCAGGCATGTTCGCTCCACGTTTTTAGAGTTCTGCACGCTAAGGAGATGCTCTCTGAGGTTGCTGCACCGTGGCAGCCCGCACTCCAAGTGTTGTCACGGCGGGCCGAGCTGGATGCGCAGAAGGGGGTCTCAGCAGTGGTGAAGGCAAATAATGAAGCCTTGAACTGATGGATGCTTTCTTCGTATCATCCTTGGTGCACGAAAGCAGTAGCATGGGAGGCCATTGCATGCCGCCAAGCGCTGGCCACTTCCGCCATTGAGCAGGCTAGCCATGTCTGGTGAAAAAGGTGTTTGTGGCCCTGCACCGCTATAGGCGACCGGACGCCTCCAAGCCCAGCGGCGGGCTTGCGTAGCACAACGTGAGGTGCAGGTCATCAAGGAGTGTCGGCAGCGTCAGGGGATGAATTTGGCTGAATGCACTTAGCAACTGTTTAGCAGAGGACGAGAGGTTCCTCCTGTCCATTTTCAACAACGTACTGATAAGGCAAAGGCTGAGTGAGACTCTTGGAGGCAAAGCTAGCTCACCTCCCCCGACCCATTCAAAAAGGTAGCTGAATGCTGTTGCATTTCCTTGTTCTTCCTGCTGGTGAGGCTTGTATCTTCCAATGCGGCGCAGACACTTCAGTCCAGGGCCAAAATGGACCGAGCTTACTGTATATTAAAATCCCTCAGGGGTCCCAGCATCCTTCACTGATATTCTGAACCTCACTGACTCGAACCACCACGGGCTGCCAAGGCAAGGACGTCGGTGCCAAGTGTCCCGAAGGGAATTGGCAAGCAGGCAGCAGGAGCGACAGGCAGGGACAGCAACTGGGATGTGGCAACGGGATGTGTAGAACTCCATTGATGCTGGTGAGATCTGGTGAGACTGCTCCAGGACTCTTTGCTGGTGTGGGGACTGCTCCGTACCATGCAGCTGCGCATCGCCAAAGCTCACTTTGCAGCTGCAGACTCTGCCGTGGCCTGGCAGAACGCTATACACTGATATTCACTCCCCCTGCACATTGTCTCCACGCAACAGGTAGACCCCTGAGAAAGGCTATCATTGTAATTTACACACACTTATGGAAATGCGTACTGACTTGACAGCGGTGCCACACGCCGGCCTAGGTTACCATTTCCTAAGGGTACAGCTAGACCAAACCAATAGCATCGACGATCACGCGACAGGTTGACGACGTGCGTGCAGGACTGTGACTCATCTCCAGGTTCAGGTAAGTTAAAGATCTCCAGAGCTCAAAACGAAAAACGGACGAGCGACAGGATGACGGCGAAGCGTGCATTGGCCCTTTATGAAGTACCTGAAAACCTAAACACCTCCTGGAACAACATCAGGTACATGAACCACCATGAAACAAACCAAGGGACCACAGCAACCAATCAACAGTTTAACAATAGCAGGTACGTTTTCACCTCCCTGGCGCGCGGTCTTCGTTGGCCAGGACGCGCGCCAGGGAGTCCTGGCCCCCTGCTGAAGAAACAATTCAACTGAATCCCTGTGACTACAAGGGGCACACACACACGCACATATATATATATACATACAATTATCAAGAGACGCACATAGAACTGTTGCATTCCATTTTTGATAATTACTGCGTATGTTTTGCCCTTTTTGCAGCAAGCGTTCTCAGGTGAAGTTGCAAACTCTTCGACGCGGAAAAGTGGCGACACATGAAGTGACCAGGAGATGAAACATCGAAAATGAAAACAAAACAATCTATCCAGATGCTGGTGGAATCACCGTGGAATCATTGATCAGTTCCATCAGCCTGGCAGGATGCGCGAAGAAGCTGAGGACTTTGTGTCTTTGAAGCAACCAGTGATATTCCTTTTGGCCCAAGAGCCACACACGGGGATAGCCACGAGAAGGATGCGCTTGCATAGCATTTGTTTTCGTGACGGTTCTCTGACCAAAACCTGCAGTGCAAAGCAAAAGGTCTGAGAACCAATGCTATGTCACTCCGAATTGCTGAGTCGGTGCTGGCACGGACCCTCCGCTGCTTGGTGCTGCGGATCCGCTATGCCAGCTTCGAAGAGGGGAAGGCTCGGTTTAGAACCCAGAGTTTGTGATGGAAAAGGACTGACTGGATGACGTTCAATGACCTTCTGTTTCTCCCAGGCAGGTGAAAGAGGGGCTATCGAAAGATTTTGGGATAATAATGGATAACAGATTTGTGTGAAGTTGTCCACTCTTGGACTTAAATAGAATGATAGACACAGAATTTACGGCAGCTTATGCTAATCCTGGTCAAGGCCGCCTTGAAGCTTCAGCGAGCTGGCAAGGCGGGCATTGCTGTCATCGTCCCACACGTAATTTGTGCCCCACTGAGTTTTTCACAACCAAGCCAAAATATGCTGAAATCCATGAAGTGGATCGTGGGCCTCAAGCAATCTTCATGTGTTCTCGTCAGATTTTGCCAGGAACACTGACACTAGGAACGGTCTGGTTTTTCGAGTGCAGGTATTGTGGTTTCTCTTTTCATGTTTGATGTGTTCATACGCATCACACCCTCCATCGCCGCCTTCATGATTTTCATGCCGATGGAACCGTGCGGCTCTGACGCTTTCCGGGAATCGTGCGGCTTTGGTGGCGTGGTGGAGGGACACAACAGATCTCCACACACTCAACAGTCCTTGGCTTCGTCGCAAAACGGGTAGCGCATTTCGGTGCTTCGTGATCTGTGAGCATGTTGTCTTGTGGTGTCAGTCTTGGAAGGTGGCTTCGTTGCATATTGACTAAATCAATCAGGACTTGGGGCTGAGATGTTTGATGATTGTTGGATATTTTTGAACTTTCATGATTCATGACGGTCTGCAGTTGGTGTGCACTGGTAGCATGTACAACCAATGTAGCAACACAACCAGCAACAAAAGGGTGTACCTCAATGCTCAATGTAGTGCAAACCAATGGATATGCCGACTCAACAGCACACGACCGATCGTCCACCAAGTGCGGACCTTTTCTCACTCCATGGCAGCCACGTGAAGGCTAAACAAGGGGCCCCTTCATTGGGCCGAGAGGTGACCGGTTGACCGGAGCATGAACTCACATGTGTCCTCATGTTCGTGACTCTCAAGTTCATGAACTGCATCTCCAAAATTTTCTTTTGAGTTCATGATCCTCCTACCGAGCACCTGAGAGGGAGTGGTCCTCGAAGCTTGTCGCTGCTTCTTGGCCGAAACGATGAAGTTCGGATCGAACTTGAGCTGCCAAGCGCGGTGGCGCAAAAAGAAAGTCAGACTGTCTCTGCAGTCGCCCTTCTTTTTTGTGAGCGCGTCACCTAAGTTCTAGTCGCTCGCAAGCCAAATCAACTTGGTGAGGCAGAATCGAATGGCCTGCTTCAATTGGTATGCCTGTATGGCAGCGCGCATGTTCGACAAACCCAGCAGCGGTGATTCGTTCACCATGACCGAATCGAACCCTCCTTTCGAATCGGTCCCAAGCACACCAGGGACCAACCGGACCTGAGAGTCCGCAAGGCTCAGCAAATCCCGGCCCTTGAAGATGGAGCCGGTGCCGTGCATGCCTGCCCATAGCAGTCTGGTTCTATAGACCACATCCTCTGTTTCAACAATCGCCTGCATTTCGGCATCGTTGGTGCCGATCGCCACCCGTTTCAGCTTCCAGCTGCGCCAAGCCACCAAACACATTGGCGTTGGGACGCCCTTGAGGGCGTCAGGGCCTGACAGGAAAACTGTCATGCCTCCCGTCGACCCTCCACGGGGTCTGTTGTTGTGCGCCTGGTCCCCCAGGCCAACCACACACAAATCCGTCCAACGACGAACGCCAGGCAACTTGAAGAACTTCAATGTTGACCCTTCTTTGCGCAGCTCCCGAATCATCTCTTGTAGCTCCTGGGCGATCTGGATCTTGGGATCCGTGGAAAGCTTAGTAATGAGCAAATTGCAGCGAGCAGTGATGAGCGGTTGTGACTGGACCGCCAACCACTGCAAGGCACCAAGTGATGTCCGACAGGCCGCAATCTCCTTGGGAGTCATGGTGGATGATCCGTTGCTGAACCGAGTGGGGTGCACATCAACGTCCTGCAACATTTCAATGTAAAACTGTTGATCCACCACAAGACACCTCCCAAACTTAGCGTCCTTCTGCATGGACAAATCTGTACCTGCATGGCGGTAGCTGTTCTGCTTTGCTGTGCCCCAACGATATTGTTTATCAATGGCTGCTTTGATCTGCGTCCAACGGCTGTCCTTGACATCGCCAGCACGGTGAAAATCATCCACATGTCCAGCCATGAAGCCGAGGGGTCGCAGCTTGAAGTGCTCAGGATCCGTGGCAGGATTGTAGGCTTCATTGTCCACAAACCAAATCCAGAAACAGGCATCGCCCTGAATGGACACAGCTCCCAAGTCACGGAGGCTCTTGTCAACATTCTCCCACAGATTCCGGGGAGCCGTGGTGCTTCCGTAGAAGTTCTTCAAAATGCGCATCACACCATGCTCGGGGATCTGGAGAGCGTCCCTGAGCTCCTTGACACCGGTTGTCCACAGGCGCTTGGACTCTTCAGTGGGGAGTGTTTGCAAAAAGGCGGTGCTCATGTCAATGCCTTCAATGTCCCAACCCTCTTCCATCACCAGCTGATAAGACAAGTTGCGAGTGAGAACTGCTTGCACTGGTGAGGAAGTACGATGGCTTTCATGAAGTAGATCAGGATGCTCAAAACCAAGCAAAACAATTCTTGCCTTGGCCTTCTTCTTGCCATCGGATGTCAGAGTCGTGGAGCCAGGCTTGGATGCCACTTCTTGAAGAGCTTCTTCCATGCTCTCCTCAGGAGTGGGCTTCCATGTGAGAACCCACCTGCAGCGCATGATGCGCCCAGAGTCCCAAGCCTCACGCTCTTCGTGACTGTCCAGGCAACGACGGACAGCCACATTGGTCAGGAAGCTGTTGACCTCCTTTGACTTGGCACGAACAAAAAGTTCACGATGTGCGGGCGAAAGCTTTTCCAATCTGACCTCACAGTCACGGAGCTTCTGAGCCAAGAACAACGAAGGGTGCTTGATGAAACGCTCCTTCTCTCTTTGGGACTTGACGTCCAACTCAATGTCCAAGATCCAACCTTCTTCGCACATCTCCAAGGCGTGGAAGATCAGGGCATCGGAGTCCAGGCGAGCCTTCTTGGAGTCAGGCTCAGCTGCTGAATCTGAAGCACTTGCTTTGGAACTGTCGGAGGACAATGAGATCAAGGGCTTGTTGTCCGAGAGGTTGGTGAAGCGTTCACCCAAGGTTGGAATGCCACTGCCAATGCCAGTGCCGGTCACTTCCTCAGTGTCATCTGGTTCAGCGTGAGTTGGCTGATCCTCAGACTCATTGAGAGGTGCTTCTGAGGGAGTATACTCCAGAGATGGCACAGCCGGTGGAGGTTGTGGTCCATGAAGTGGTGACCATGGGCTCTTCATACGATGTCGCTTCTCTGGAGGCCTTTGATCCTGAAGTGTTGATGGACCAGGCTCATCTGGCAAAGGAGGTAACTCAACATCTTCTTCCGTTGGCTCTTCTGGAAGCAGGTCAATGTACGACCGACGAGGCACCATATCAGCCAAGGAGCGCCAATGAGAAGGATCTTCTGGATTTGAGATCTCGTAGTCAAGGCGTTCACGCTCCGTGACCTTTCTGACCGAGTGCACTGAACATCGATGCATGGCACCGGCCACAATGACCCAGACGATGTGTCGTCTTTCCTCCTCCGGTCGTTGACCATGGATGACCTCGTGGAAGACAACTCTGCCCGGACCCAGCCATTGAGGATGGCCAAGCTTGCGAAGACCTCCTCTGGCACCACCATCAGTTGAATAGCGACGCCAGATCTTGACAAGGTCCATGGGCTGGAAAACTTGAAGAGGTTGCCTCACACGGGAATTGCGAAGCTTTCCAAGAACCAACTGGGATCTCGCCTTTCTCGCAATCTCCTCTGCTTGTTGTCGATTGGAGAGCAGGGAGATGAAGTCGGTACCTGAGACATCAGGCAGAATCTGCTGCATGGATCTCTCATCTTCTTCTGAGAAGCTAAACTGCTTCCCATACACCCACTGATGAGGAGTGTACCCCTGCACGACCTCTGTGGCATTGAGGGAGTTGATGGAGAGAGCCAAGATGGTCTTTGCAGAGAGCGCCGGAAAGGAGAGCGCAGTCTTGGAGGCAACGATCTTGACCTCTTGGACGGCTCTTTCCATCAGGCCGTGGCTCCAGCTTTCTTTAGCTGGTGGTACTTCAATCTGGATGTTGAGGTCGGAGAGGGTGGTTCGAGCTTGGGCGCTGACCATAGACTTCGCATTGTCAGGGACCAGAATGGTCATCTTAGGCTTGGAAGCAAGCCAGAGGTCAAAGATGCCCTCGAGGATCTCAGTGGTGTTCTCATTCTCCTGCTTGTAGAGATCCATGGAGCGTAGGATCTTGCCAGCTTTGAAATGAGTGGCAAAGTCCATCAGAACCAAAAGCTTGTACCATTTCCCAAGCCTTTGGAAGCGGCCGCATGGAAGCTGGTGGTATCTTGCCACTGGAAGCGCCGCCCATCTTCAAGGCTTTGCAATCATCACATGGCAGCTTCAAGGCTGCTTCAACCTTCCAGCGGGGTTGACCAGCTTCTCGGATGATGCGGGCCAAGTTGTAGTTGTTGGGATGTCCGGCTGCCTTGTGGTACTTGAGCAGCTGGATGTCCCACTGTTTGCGAAGTTCTGCATTGGGCTCATCGTCATCCTCCAGCTCTTGAGGCATTGCTTCGAGCTGAAGTGAGTGGATCTGCTCTTCTCCTGTCATGTGTGCAGCAACGGGAGATTGAAGACGATCAAGCCAACGAGCTGGATAGAGTTCGGCTCGCCAGTGCTGAGCAATTGACTTGCACATCTTCCAAGGGTAGTAGGCGGACCGGTTGGTCTCAACTCCTTGGATGTGGTCGTGGTCATGGGATCCAGTGCAAGTCTTGGCTCGATACACTGTGAAGAAGTGTCTCGAAGTCGTGGCAATGGTCCACTGCTTTCTCAAAGGAAGGCCCTGCTTGGAGAGTAGGCCATAGCGGCAACCATCAATGCGAGCAAAGAGCCACTCCTTATTGGCCTTGATCATCTCATGACCCAAACGCTGGATCATAGGCTCATTCCAGCCATAGCATCGAGTGGGCCATTCCCAGAAGATCTCGAGGTTGGGGTTGTACTGCACGGCCGAGGACAGGAAGGGAATCAGCCGACGGAACATGGCTCGTTCTTTCCGTCGATACTTCTCAAGGATCTTCTTCTCTTCGACGGTCTGGTAGTTCAGGCTGGTG